GCTAAAACCAAAGCACAAAGTTGTCGAGCAGTGGTTAAGTTGAAGCAGTTTAGCCTTTTGACTTTCAGTCTGGTTTTAGGAACTTGGGGACAAAATTACTGATGTTATAGTCTTTATTAAACACAGTTATAGCAATAAGTTCTCAATATTTCAGCTGGCAAGTGTTCAATAAAATCAGGAAAGAACAGACCATTAAACTTTTCCTAATTCTTGGTTGCTGTTGGACACCTTCTATTTCAAATTCAAAATGCACAAGGAGAGAAGTTGGTGGTTGAAGCATTTAACTTCTGTGCTGCATATGTAAATATATATAAAGTGAAGTGTTTTGAAAACTTTGCAAGTTGTGGGGGGGAGGAAGAAAATATTCTTTGGAAATAGCCATTTTGACAGTATTATTCCATGTAAGGGGCTGTTCCTGTTGAGCTTTCCCTTTTACCTTGGACTGAGAAAGTGTCAGGCTGCCTCATGTGTCACGTTGGCCCCATCTGGACCATAGATGTTGTGCTTTTAACAAGGGTTGTTGGGCTGTAGAGTGTAGGGGCGAGGAGGTTACTGAGCTTGCTTTACAGGGAAGACCCAGAACTCCCCATCCCACTCGTGAGGGGGTGGACAAGCTGTCTGCCTCGGAGGGAGGAGCTGGCTGTTGGTCCTCAAGAGGTAAACAGGCTTTTTAAAGGAAGTGTTTGAGATGTGGGAGAGGCCTTTGGCTGAAGCAGCATTCTTTCTTGGAACTGTGCTGCCTGTATGGCTTAGGGCTGAATGGTGTGGAGGGTGAGAAATTGCACTCAGGGCTTGTTGATACAAATGATTTACACTTGAATTTACTCTCTTGTCCTGGAGCGAAAGAGAGCTGCCTCTACATGATGCAACTCCTTTCCTGTGGAAGTTGTACTCCTCTATGGTCTAGGAGTAAATTCTGTCCCAGAGCAACCTGAAGGTAATGTTCATGTGTGTGCTTCTCCAGTGTTAGCTATTTTAATTTGTCCACTATCTTCCTACACTGTGTTGTGCTCTCTGCTGTGTGCACATCCCTTTTTAGATGTTCTGTGGCTATGATCTTGTGTGGTTTTGGGGTGTATGGGGAATGCACACCTTCACAGGTCATGCTGAGTTCATACCACCTGTAGCTCTCTGACATGCCTTCTGATCATGACTGCACTTGGGACTTCTCACCTTGTGAAGCACGGTGCAGAAACAGGATGTGCTGAGCTTTGTAAGCTTCCCAATCCCATCAGTGTTGGTACAGCTTCGTGTTAAGATGCCACCATAATACTGTCCCAAGGAGAAGGAAGTGAACTCACCTGTAGAAGGTGCTCTTTTATCTGTGCATTTTTATTACAAGGAATGAAAGGGACAGGACACAGGATGTTGGCACAACAGATCTTGCTTACCTTAAATGAAGAGGAGACAGGGAGAGGACTCATTGCAAGAAAGTGGCCTGACAGGAAACTAATTAAGAGTCCATTGAGAACTCTGCCAGTGCATCTAGATTACTTTGCCAGTCAACATGATACCCTGAAAAACACGAGGACTGCCAAGAGCATCTTTGGAAGTTTGAAGCAGACTAGTTTGTACCGTTAATATGAGAGAAAAGTTTTCATTTTACTTGCAGTTTTCCATTCTGTCATTTTAGGCCAATACTGTTCAGCTTTCCTGAGATCCACTCACCCTCTTTCCGTGGATTAACCCCTCTTTGCTCAATAGAAATCAGCTAAAAGTTTACCCTTAATAGAGATAATTCATCTGTACTCTGTCTTCTCTTCCCTGCATTTTTAGAGGTTGCTGTTTTTAGTCTGTTGTCTCCTGTTGCCATCACCCAGGTCCCTTTCTCTTGAGTTCTCAGCCACAGGAATTTAAATACACGTTTTAAATGGTGATTCATTTTAATTGGAACATAAACCTTATACAACTGTATAGCCACGGACATAACTGCAATTAGAGGGCTAAGATGGGGAGATAAGACAGTCCATATAGTTTTGATATGGTATTCTACAAAACCTTTATATATTTTTCTCTTACAGAAATTACTTGATGCTGTCGTTATGTTGCAGTTTATCCAAATGTTCAGGCATTACACAAACCCAAAAGCTTTTGTATGCATTGAGCACTTAACACTTCAGCTTCTGTTTTTACAAAGGACAAAACACTGTTGAAGGCTCCCAGAATCTAAGGAGACAGCAAATTTGGAAGAATTGTGCATTGCAAATGTTAGCATTCTTACAAATTTCTCCTTCCTCCTTGTGAAAAAACATCTGTCACAAACAAACTCGTGGGGAAGAAGGATGTTTTGAACCAGGGGCTTCTACTGTCAGCTTCATCATGTTGAATTAATGGTCCCTGGCTGCTAACAGATGGACTGTAAGATGGAGAACTCTGGCCACGCGTTTGCCCACAAACACTTCATCCTCAATTGCTTCAGTCAGTTTGGTGACAGAGAACAACTTCGTGGAAGCTTTTTTAACCTTCATAACCAGTGTGCTGTCCTGCACTTCGCTGTGACAGGCAAACACTCTTGCTTCAAGATAGTTTTGAGGAAGAAAAGTTAAAAGAAAGGTTACCAAAACGTTACTGAAATAGATAGTGAGAGTCCCACTCAAATCCCAATTCCTGCCTTTTTGCACGTGGCTGTGTTAATAATGGTCAACGATGTTTTGTAGTATTCTGCTTGAGCTTTCCAAGTCAGTTTGAAATGGTTTGGATTTGGTGTGTTGTGATGTTATTATTTGTCAGGCTACTGCTATCTGTAATACACAAGCCGATCTTGTTGCTGATGCTGCTCCAGCTGAGGCCTGCGTGGCTGAGTGGATATTCATACATTTCTGACTGTGAATAAGAAATTGTTTCCTGTAGGATTCTTTTACTGTTGGTGTAACATGTTTGGGGACTTTGAGCAGAAATGCTTATGGCCCCTGTAATGCTGTTAAATAAGGAATCAGCTACAGAACAGTTCACACAATTATTTAATCATAGCTGAAAGGAATCAGGATTTTGCAAGATGGGGAAAAAGGAGAGTGGCAGAGAGTTTTTTGGGGGATTTTTGTTGGTGGTGTTATGATCTGCATACTTCCTTTAGAATATTCAGCACAAAAACTTTTAATTTGCAGATCATGTATTTTTAGTCCCTAGGAGAAATTTAAATCTTTTAATCTGAGTAATCCAGTTTGATTCTAGATGTACATACTGCAATTTGACAGTGCCATGAAATCACAAAATTCCCTGCTGTGGATGATGGACCAGACACCCTGTGCCAGGTGTATGTGAATCTCATACTGACTAGAAGCATGTTTCTCTCTGGCTTTCCATCCATTTATTAAGTCAGTATTACTCCTTAACTTTCCATTTTGAATGGTGTATTTATTTTTTCTCTTCAGGGATTCAGATTTCATCTTTCTTTTAAATGTGGCCTGGATCTATTTTCCCTTCTATTATCTTTTGATGATGAATTTAGAACATTAATTGTTGAAAATATATCTGGCTTAGTAAATATGCAAAATCACTGAATGGTAAAAACAGGCAAGCTGTGAAGTAAGGAAAAATAAGCAGTCTATGATGAAATGCAGTCAACAGTATGGAATTTTTCAGTAGTGTAGTATAGAATGCTAGCTGAAAAGGCTGTGGCTAGTACTTCAGCAAATATCTTCACAGCCCATGTTTTCAGCTAGAAACTGCAGGATATTCAGCCTTCTATAATGCCATTATATGGGTATGAGCCTGGTTATTTTGGAAATAAAAATAAAAAATAAAATATATATATATATATATATATGAAACTGCCTAGACAGTTGGGAAACTAAATGTAGCTACATGAGATTAATATCCATGAGTGTATGTCTGAGCCAGGCTTGTGTGCTGATGAGGAGGCTCCAACTAGTTGATTGGAAGGGAGGGGAAGGAACCTCCAGAGGTATTGGGTCATTTAAAGCTGTTGAGATCAGTTACTGATCTGGAGACAGTTGCTTGTGGAACTGTCTTTTCAATTTCCAACAGCAAATTTGGAGCCTTTGAGACCTAACCAACTCATCACTGACATTTAACAATATACCTCGGTCTCTTACTGCAGCTCACTGCCTCAAGATTTTACTCCTTGGGCTTTGGAGAGAAGCAGAGAGAAGCAACTGCAGCTGCATCTCAATCAGAAATATAAATTAGTGTGAGTGTTCAACCTGAGCACATTTAGTGTCCATAGAAAGCTGAAGTAATTAAGCAGACACAAGATTTATTTGTTCCTGAGCTTACCAAAATGATGAAGCTTTGACTTAGCCAGAATATTTAGGGATGCTTTCTTCAGTTTTCAAAATGCTTTTGGTTTTGGACAACTGAGTATGTTATTGTGGTATGGTGAAAATGGTTTAACTCTCTGAAAAAAATATTAGGGCCTGACCTCTTTCAGTTGGGAAGTCTTTATTTGTTTTCTGGGGATGTAGAGCCCTGCTAATGGTTTTACTTGGTGTTCTTAAATGTCTGAAGAAGCTGAACAAAGGAGATAACTTCCAGTTCCACAGCTTGCTTGCCTGTATGTTTTCAGGCAGTGCTTCTTATTAGTTGTTCATGAGATAATAGAAACAGCCCTGTGAAAATACATTGACAGAAGAGCTTCCTTTCTTAACAGCAGCATGACTGACTTAAACTTGTCAAAATAATGTGAATAGCTGATTTATGTTAAAAGACCTGTGACTACTAACTGTTCTGTCATTTATTTTTTTTAAACATATCATAGGGACAATGCCAGCTTGTTGAGTTTATTGATTTTGCAGTTGACAATATTAATATGGATCATTGTTATCTTAACCCAAGTTTTTCTTCTTCATAATAGCAGGTGCTCAAAGTTCTTCATCGTCCAGGTGAATGTTTTGTAGCATTTACATTTGATGTGTTCTATTAATGTTGGAGAATTTTTGTGACTGAGATATAACGTGGGTTATTATTACTTGAGTACTAGATGCAAGGAGAAAATAACTCTTATGTATTCTTAAATCAGTCTGTCTCATTTCCCAGGTAACATGCATGTGTCACTGGCAGAGGCTCTGGAGGTTCGAGGGGGACCACTGCAAGAAGAGGAAATATGGGCAATTTTGAATCAAAGTGCAGAGAGCCTTCAAGAACTATTCAGAAAAGGTAAGCACTTTTAAAGACTGATATATACAAAAGTGGAAACATCTGGGTTATGTTTACATGTCATGTAAGGAAACTCCCTTGTTCCTAGGCTTTAAACCCAAATAATAACTTGCTGCTAGGTTATCTTTTGGTGAAGTGCCTAACGGGCTGTATCCCAGCCCAAAAAAATGGTTTTGACCATCACTTCATGTTCTGTCAGAACTTGCAGCACATTGTTTCATGTGGTCACAACTTCACTTTGATAGGAAGCTGTCACAGAGTCTTTGCATTATTTTAGACTCATTGAAATAAGATAGAAACAGAAAAAATGATAAATAAGTTCAAGACCACTGGAGGACTTTGGCCCTGAAGGGGAGTTAGGAGCAGGTACAGTACAGTGCAGTGATGACCAGTTTGGTCTGAAGAGATTTAGTTTCAAGTGAGGCAAAGGTGAGCCACTGAGGAGTTGACCAAGGGCTAGGTATAATTCCCAGAATGCAATTAGCAAGACACATATAGCTACTGAGTGGAATGTGGTGGCTTTTTGTACTTTAAAGGGGTCAAAGTATCTCATCTCCCCAACTTAGTAGGCTCTAAGTTGAGCATTTGCAATATTGTTAATAATTATATGCTTTAGCACTGGGTCTAAGTATGGAACCTTTCCTCTTCCTTATGTGTTCCTTTCTTTTCTTTAAAATCTGCAAATCCTTAAGCCCCTTCTCCCTCTTTTTTTGCTTTTTAATAGGGATAAAAACTTAAATATTGAACTTTGGTGACTTCTTTAACCTGACCTCAGATAGAGTATATGTTTCCATGTTGCATCTTGGTATTTCAGCAAATATGAGGGTCATGTCCTTATATCTTAAGCATGCATATATAAGCTTATTTGGTTTTATTCAGGAAAAATCAAAATCTCATAGTTTGAAAATAGCCATTGTTTTGCCACATTGCTACGCAAGGAGCACATCTTCGTTATTGAGGGCAAAGTCTGTTTTATTTTCTGCGTGCATTTGGCTTACGTTTTCATCAAGATTCAACATTTAAGTTGTTTTATGGGTTTTGTTTGGTTGGTTTCTTTTTTTTTAAGCTTTGGTTTAAACAATCTGTCAAGTCAGACATTAGGTCTGTCTTGTACGTTGCGCAACCACTGAAAGTGATCTCTGCTGGATACTTCACAAAGACTCTGAAGAAGGCAGATATGGGCAGAAACTGCCATGTGGCATTTGATTTCTGATCAAGCTTGACTTAGCATTATAAATATGAAATTTTACCAACTTCTCCAAAATGTGTTTTTGGTAGGCAAATTATAGGTAGTTTTGATATCCCATACAAATTTCCCTTTTCCCCTTTACCAGTGAGCTCACAGCCCATGCGTGGTAAGAAGAATTCCATGTTAGAAATGCTGAGTTTCTTGTTGCAATTTGACCAACTGCCCTTTCCCTCTCCTTCTTATATTACAAGAAAGGGGAAAGCTGGTTCTTTCCTCTCTCTTTCTCTCTTTGTTGTCTCTCAAAGAAAATTGGAGGAATTTTTTAAATTATTTTTTAATATTTTTTTTTTTAGAGGACAGGTGGGTAAAACAACACATTAAGCTCTATCTTAAAGTCTTATTGAAAGGTCACAGTAGCATGACTATATAGTAGTGAAACCCCTTGAGACATTATCCTAGGTCTAAAATCCTTTCAAGAAGGAAGTCTTCACTGAAAATAAGAGCTCACCCTTTCTTTGCCTGAGTGTAGTGCAGCAAAGAGTTATTGTAATTACTGTTAAAGCAGCGTGCAAGCATTGAGAGTGAGAACAGTCAGCCCTCCTTCAGAGGGATAAGTACTGAAAGGTGAGAGCACAGAATGGAAATCTGCCCCAGGACTCCTGCTATGTTGTTTTAAGGTAGGAGAACGTTTGTCAGCCAAGACTGACTAAGGTGGCAGAAGCTTCTGGTCTTGCTTCCTATCAGTGAAGACCAAAACACAAGCTCAGATAAAATCAGTGCCAGAAGAATTTGCCTGTTCTTGGAGATGAAGCTGTTTTATTGTGTTGCTTTTCTGCTAGTTCAGCAAACTATTTTCAGTTGCATGCTATTAATTAACCTGGGATAGAGCCCTGTGGTAAAATGCACTTCAAGAGACACTCAAATGAAAGAGCTTTACTATGTAGCTAAGGTTGACAAAAGGAATCTTAATTCCTCCCAGCAAGATTAGGATAACCAGACAGACTTTAATGAAGATGTGGCTTCACTAAGGAAACAATCTAGAAACCTTTTTTGGTCATCTTGAATATCAGTTTCAATGCTGGCTTGTAAGGCTGCATTGCAGAAAGGTAGGAACAGAGAATGAGAGGTTCATGTAGGCTTGTGTGACTCAGTTTTGTTCTTTATTTGTGGAGGGCTTGTAGCAAATGGGGGATCTTGGAGAAAACCTGTTTTCCTTGGTAAAATTTCAGTCCTAACATACAGCATGGAAGAGCTATTCTATGGCTGAGGGTGAGTTTCCAAAATTTTTCAGAACTGCCCAGTTGCTCCTGGGCGGAGGGCAATCAGGCAAGCTTCTGGCTTCTGCAAGTTTACAGCATGTGCAACTCTGACCAGTCTGAGGTGCTCTTTTCTTCCTCCTTGGATACCTCTGGAGTCCCTGAGCATGTTCTTCTGTATCAAAATCTAAGCTTTGATGAGTGTTTTCTATATTAAGTTTCTTTAAAAATATTAAATAGGACATAGTGTCCAACTCTTTTGAAATGAGGGGGATAAAAAGGGCATGGAAAGAGTCAACTCTTAAATTGCCATTTGTTTGCAACGTCCCTGTGCCAGCCCAGCAACCACATACACTTAAAGGAACTGCCAGCCCAAGTAACCATTTATTTATTTATGTAATCCTGGTAGAGCTTTGATAGTCTGTTTGAAGTTGAGAATACTTGTAGTTACTCCATCAACTGAGAATGTTTCTTCAATTCATTTTTTACTTAAACTAGTTTCAGGAAATTAAGGAAAAATGCCCCAAACGAACTTCTGTTACAGATTTGATGACTTCTTGATTTATGAATGAGTTCTGCATGTCTTTTAGTGACTGTGTCTTCTTATCCATCAAAGCACTGAATAAAAGAAACACAGAATGAAAGTCTATGTCTTACATAATTAATCACGTGTCATATCATGTCTAATTCAATGACTGATGCAGAAATGTGCATATTTTTATGCCTGTTTGTATTCATAATTCTAACAGGTCTCAAACTCTTTAAAAATACTTTACAGATTGATTTCAGTCATTATAAGCAATGAAAGTTTAGTTGGAAATGCCCAGAACATCACCCCTGGTAGCTGTCTTGTCAGCATATTATAAGCTGTTAAATGGAGGAGGAAGACAATGCAGTACTCAGTTGCAGATCTGACATCAGTTGTAGCAGTGAGGTTGAGATTAATCTGGAGATTTGAAAAGGCCGATACCAGACCTGCCCTTCTCTTCCATCTGTTTAATTATCTGCAATAACTATTTTGTTGTTGAGAGGGTGTATCAGCTGTTTCAGACGTGCTGTATCTTGTACTCGGTACTTCATGAGGTCAAAGAAGCAGGTCTTTGAAGTGAAGTATGGCGAATGTGAGTATATAAGTGTAAGGACTGTGCTGTGCTCTTTGCTGCTGTGAATTATAAACCAGGACTCCCTCGAATTTGGTAGGTTCAACTAGAAAAGATTTATCATAACTTGAAACTGGGAAAGACTTTGTATGTCACTTGGGTCACTCCAGTGCTGAAGTGTGGGTTGTGAAAATAGTTGGACCTTATGTTTGAAGGTGTTTTTAAAGGAAGAGAAGGAGAAGGAGTCTGTTAATAGAAAGGCAGGTTGAGCAAAGAAAGAGGGACTTCACAAATTCACTGTCTTGCAAATTTGTATGTGGGAAATGATTTATGTAAATAAAAGTGATGTCATCTGGAAGTGGAGATGAAGAAGGACAATTGTGGGTTTTGGGGACCTGTCAATCTTATCTACAGTCATCCTATTGCATCTGCTTAGCTTGGGTAAGTATAATGAAAAGAAGGAAGGCAAAGTGTGAAATGTGTTGATGGGAACCAGTGGTGGATCCCAAATATTCATAGACCTAGTTGGGATGGAGGGGGAAGTGAATTGTTTTGGTTGAGAAGAGGGAAAACGCAGTTGGGGCGGGGGTAGTGGTGGTGTTGGTGGAATTCTTTCTTTCCATCCACTCTGTGCTGGCATGTGTTGAATGATTGTTTTTCCCCTTTACCAATAACTGTTGAGGAGCAAATTTTTTTCCACCTTCTGGTAACATTTGATCTTTTGATTGCTGAGCAGGAAAGAGGTCAGGCTTTTGTAGGTTTTGGTGGTGGCATTTTGGGTTTTTTGGGGTGTGTGGTTTAGTGGTTTTTTGTTTGGTTTTGGGTTTTTTTTTAATTACCTTCCCTCCACCTCAAGTGAGGCTCAGTTACTACT